AAACAGCATCAAATAAGCAAGTGAGCTGTGTGAGGTGCACAGCTTTCTCTTGCTAACTTTTCATAAGTCTTTGAGCAATAAGGAAACTTTTGAGTCTAAAGGAGAGTTAACACAGAGAGGCAGAGCAAGATGACTTCAATAATCYTCAGCTTCTTTGATAGCAGAGGGCAAATGATGAGGAAGCTTGATATAAGATTCAGCTAGTAGAGCAGGAAAGGGAATAAACTTTACTGTGCCCAGGATAAAGTGAGATTTGGCTTTTTGAGCATTATTATTTTGTCTCATAAAATAATATTTGAAAATATTCATTGTGTTGAATGATACCCTGTCAGATTTATTGCCCTTTGCAGCCCTTTATCAGGGCTGTGATGTGCTCTGTGATGTGCCCCAGTGATGTGCTCTGTTGGCCAGAATTGGTTGGTGCTATAGCTGGATTTGGCACAGATGTTGAGTGCTAGAGCTGGAGTCATCCAAATTAGGATTGATGTGTTGACTGCTGCTGAGGCAGTTCAGTATTTTTATCTGTGTAGTTTCTTGAGCCCAAAGCTGGATTAAAATAAGTGTTACAAAAGACCCTTGCAGGCCTGGAGAATAGAATGTCTGAGAGTCAGTTGTGACAAAGGGCATGTGGGCCGTTAGGCTGCAAATATGGCTAAGGGAACAAGTGAATGCTACYTAACAAAAATCTATTCGTATTTATTTGTGGAGATAAGGAAAGCAAGGRGGRATCATTTATCTTTGTGTGTCACAAAGTGAAAGCAGCTTTAGTTGAGCCAGTATGAATGAGTAACTTGATTCTAATCAACGTGGCCATATGCCAGGTAATTTTGCCAGGCCAGCTTGCATTGATATGGCATGAAATAATAAGGGTTACTGTAACTATTTTTCACATCTAGTCTCTCAGTAATTGCTAGGTACAAGTGAAATACAGCTTATGAGCATTAAGAACCATCCAGTTGGAAGGCAGGGTTTCAGAAATGGATTTAGGGATGCTAATGGAAATAGCACTGAACATGAGCTTGCTGTGGGACAGTTTCACAGTGATGACAGGAGCAGAGCTGTGTTCATGAGATTAATTTTTTTATCACTATGACATGAGAAACTTGCTCACAGCTGAGAAATCTATAAAAACTGGAGAGTGCACAGGAAGAATAAAAGCCATATGAATTATGAAGATGCTATTAAACACGTTGCAGTGGGAAACTGAAAGATCCAGCTGYCCTGCTTAAAAGAAAAGTTAATTCTGATTTAATAAGTATCAGCTACTGAACCAATTTTGTAATACTGCTGGAGCATGCATGCAAACAMCCATCTAACAGAAAGCTGAGTTGAAGCTAAGTTTAAATCGAAAACGAGGACAGGGAGATAACTTGCCAAGAGAGGGGGTAAATTCTCCATCTCTTGAAATCTTTAAATCAAGATGCAACACTTTTACATGYTCCAGTCAAATACCAGTTACTGGATTTGGTACAGAAGGAGCCAAGTGGTGCAGCATCAGCCTTACTCAGAAGGCAACACTGAATAATTCAGTGATCCCCGAGGAATCATGAGTATCTGTTTCTCTTCCTGAACTTTTGAAATGTATTGCTGTACACTGGTAAACTTGAGTCAGCTTTGGTGCTGATGTAGCAGCAATTCTACCAACCTATTACACTGCAGGTAAAGTTAGACTTCATAAATTCTTCAGTTTGATCAAGTAACCTCTTTATCATTCATATTCAAACAGATCTGTGGATCGGGATATTGATGCCAAAAAGTGTAAATTGAAGAGATTCCAAAATCAAGGGTGCTTGTAAGGACCTTGCCATGTGATTTCTGACAAAGTACATTTCTTTTAATACTGGATTTTTTTTTTTAATTTTTAAGAGAAGCTGTATTTTCTCTGCAGTGACTTCCCTAGCTTCCTGYCAGAGAACAGTACACATTCAAAAATCTCTGCCATATATCTGTATGTTTTATTAGTTTCCTCTCCATAAATAATCTAGCATGGTTTTAAAAGACAATAAATTGTAGAGTTAAATAGACAATAAAGTTKGTGCATCACTCAGATCTGGCTGTGTCCTGACATCAAAACTTTCTTTTGTTGAATGTGTTCACCAAGCTGTAATGAAATACCAAAGAGGTAAAGGGTGGGTCAGCAGGATTATGCAAAGCTTAATTTGGTTGAAGTCCCTTGAGAAAGCTGTTGGACTGTACTAACACTGCATTGCATGACAAGCTGGAAGGGTATTGAACCACCTGAAGGCTCTGGGTGAGCCTTGGAGCACTTTCCTGCACGTGAAAGGGGCCCATGAGAGAGCAGGAGAGGGAATTTTCCAGGGACATGTGGGGATAGGACAAGGGGGAATGGCCTTAAGCTGGAGGAGGACAGCTTTGCAGAAGATATGAGGAAGAAATTCTTTATTGTAGAGGTGGTGAGCCAGTGGAACAGGTTGCCCAGAAGGTCTGTGGACTCCCCATCCCTGGAAATGTTCAAGGCCAGGGTGGATATAACCTGCTCTAGTAGAATGAGACCCTGCCCATGGCAGGGGCATTCCAACCCTAACCATTCCATGGTTCTTGGAAGAGGTAAACCTTTTGAGAACAGATTAGAAAGGGACTGTGTCATGGGTTTAAAAAGTAAAACCATGACAGACTGATAGTCAGAATGTGCTGAAATAATGCGGGCTGGAGCTGGTTTTGGCTGGTAAATATCCAACCCATGCTAGTGTTTACCTGTARCAACCTCAATTACATGCTCTAGCAACCATCTCTGAATTTCTTGTAGTGTTGTTAAAACTGTTCTGTTCAGCTGGAAAAARCCTGCATCTCAACCAAAAGTTACATATAATCAATAATTACATAGTGACCATGTTTACRTCTTCCTCTGTTTTTCAAGRTCARGARAAGGAAACATTTTATTCAGAAAATSTCAACCCTCCATACAGCYATCTCATAAAATCTGAACTCCTCTATTTTATTAAGCACTGTATTATAGGTCCAAAGCATTTGTTCAAGGTATCTTTCTATGGAGTTTGGGATCTGCCCTGTGTTTGCTGAGACCACACACTCAGTGGGTCTTACCAATACCAGAACTGCAGAATCCAGTGAGTAAAGGTACTGTTTGACACTGAAGCCTTAACTAGAGAATGTCCAAAGCTGATCATGTGAGTCCCTGCAGCCTGAGGWGAAGAGCCAAGCTTTTCAGCAGAAAGCTGTAACTGATCCAGACCTTGTGTGGCTCAAATCCAGAGAAGAGTGTGTAATGTGCGCTCATTACTTGGTTACATTCACTTTACTTGGTTCTGATCTGCTAGCATGATGCTAGGTGTCTGGGAAAGAAAAGTTAAWGGGGAAAAATATCCTATATTATGTTGAGAGAAAATATTTTAACTWCTCAAAAAAAATTTTAAATGTTTTCTAACATAAAATACCAGGYGAATCAAATACAAAATAAAGAGTGATTTTAAAGTGAAATTATTAAAGGTTTCATTCTGAAACATTTACACAGAAAACCTTCACAAATTTTGCTATTCTCAACAGAGTTTCAAAAAGATTCATTAGAACTTTTTCCAATGGAAAACTGTTCCATATCAAGATTTTTTTCTGACGAAAACTTATAGCTGAGCTGTTATATTATTGCAAGTAGATGTTAACAATGCTTGTTCAATATTTCATCAGTAGCTCTTTCAGGACTCTGAGCTGCCTGGGGGAAAAGAAAAATAAAACAAAAACCCCTAAATTTCCTGTGAAATGTTCATGTGTCACAGTTGTCAAACTGGCAATAGCAACACCAGCATGTATTTGGAAAGATGGACTTTTTTTGCTTAAAAGTACTCTTCATTCCAAAAAAGACTATAAGATCATTCCAGACTGCAGGGGAAGAAATAACTTCTCTTGTGACCTGCTTTGTAACGAGCCCAGATTGTCCTTACGTGTAGCCCCACCTGATAATATTCATGTTCAATGGCTTACAGATCATAATCAAAAAAGAAAATGGAGAGTAACTGTTTGAATAACAGCTGCTCAGGAGAATATTCATTGATTTAGATCACGACTCAACAATGTGGTTCAGAAAACATAGTCCAACAGTTGGAAACACACTGAAAATGGTTTAAATTTTTTCTTGTTTTTCATTTTGGCAAGTATATCCATAGAAAAAGACTACTGGCTGATTGCATAGAGAYATTGAATGCATGCCACTGGTGAATAATAGCATGTATAGTGGACTGATTCCAAAAGAAATTTTTGTGTGTTCAGCTATCAAATTATATTTTGGCAAAAACCTCGATGGCTAGCACTGTATTTTGTGGTCAAATGATGTCAGCCTCTGTGGGCCAGCTGGGTCTACAGAATGAAGAATTAAGGGCTTGCTATCAAAAATACCCTGTCCCTGTGGATAGTCAGGTCACTGGAATGTTAGCAAAATCACTGCAGAAGATCTCAGCTTTTCCAGCTACAGTTAGGGCATGAGATGGTTACTACTGCAAACAGAGCATGAGTACTTYTAAAAATGCATTTAATCCCTTGGAGTACACCTAAAAATGGAGAGGAAAATGGAGAAAGCACTTCTTACATCAGCTATGTATTTGACAATTAAATGAGCAAGCAGCCCCCTTCAGACTACCTTGCGTTTCTGGACAGCTTGCAAGTCTGCACTCTCAGGAGCATAATCTTGARTTGACTGAGAAATCACTGCCTTGTGAAAATGGCATCTCCATATGAAAGAAATTATTGCAGCTACCTGGAAAAATGCACAGAAAGGACCTTCCTGGCAGTTCTCTTCCTTTGGGAATCCAGGCTCCCATAGAAAGACCRCAGTGAAATCTAATAGTAGTGCCCAGTACAAAAGGTTTTCGTTCTATTAATTTCTTTCCATTCCAAAGAGCCCTCCARTCTTTTCTGCTACTGATGCAGGAAGTTATGCAATGTGCAAATCTTACACATGTGTTTAAAAGCTCCTGAGGACTAAAATAAGATGCTGCTCTACACCATTCCCCCCTCCCCCCGACCCCACATACCACAATCATCTTTAGAACGAGTTTTCAGTCACCGTCCTGTTGCGTCTTGACACTGAGGACCCAGAAGGAGTAGRTCATTCCAATGGGAATGTTTACTGTGTCTTGAGGATGAAATGATTTAACCATCTAGTTCCAGCATCCTTTCATCAAAGACAATCAGAAAAGGCTCACGTGGCTCCCTGTGGAACCCCTCATGATGGCAACATGGTTGAATGTGCCTTATTTGCCTAATGGCTGCCTCCAGGCCTGCCCCTGCTCCTGTGCTCCTTGTGCCCAAGCTTCATTCTGCCACTGCCTCTGGGTTTATCATCCATCTCATCCATCTCCTCTTACTCACATCTCYGTATGTTTTCCATGTTGCCCATGTAATCTTGGCAGCTTTGGTTTGGTACAGCAAGTAATCTTGTGTGCTGCTGGTTTTTATTATTATTATTAGAAAGAAATTCTGTTGGTGCAAAGAGATTAGCAAGTCTTGGTAGCATAAAGGAGAGAACAAAGAGAGAGCTTTTTGGGGGGGAAAAAGGGCTATCAATGCAACTGAATCAAAGCTGGCATCAAATTTCATAATTCAAAACTGCTATCAAATCGGGTTCAAAGGAATCAAGAAAGTAATAAATCTCTACAGAGTACTGAAGTCAAAGTTAATCACATATTTCTTAATAGCAAGTTATTAAAAGAAATGTTGCCTTAATCAGACTGAGATGAGTTACCACCCCTGCCATGCAGCAGCACTATCAAACTCCTCTTGTAAAGGACTAAACTAATATCCAGCAGATGTGGTAGACTGACCCTTGTAAATCATCTTCTTCCTACCATAAGAGTAGCCTTATTGGTACTGATAAGCAAGTGGGACTCATTGAAATCTGCTTTAGAGTTCGAAAGTGAAGGGTTTTTTTTCTATCTTAAGTAAGATGGAGAAACCATTTTCCTTTCATTTGAGTTCACAATAAATGAAGTGTGACTCAGGATAGTTGKGAAAACCCACGTGAGCTGAAAAGCAGGGTACCTGCTAGGAATTYGAGTGAAAGAACAAGAATGGCTTTGTAAGGATCAGCTTCATGTGTCTCTGAAATACTTCTTGCTTTGTCTCATATACAAGTCATAGGAGGGAATTGATAATTTCTATCTCAAGCCCCCTCAGTGACAACAAATAGAGTCAAATTATGCATCTGCTTCCTACCCTCAGGAGAGAAGTCCCTTTCTCATGGAGTGGAGGTTGAAGAGTTCCAGATGTCCTGCAGGTTATAGGCAGAGGTACTGAATGTAAATCATGCCTTTCTTTTCAGCCCCTGTGGGTTTGGCTGGAGATKCTAATGTCCTTGCTATTTTACACTTCAGATATTTAGAAATGCTTCTCACACTGAGAGAAGTTTTAAATCAGCAATTTAAAAACCTAAAAGAAAAAAGGCTAATACCCATGTTATTCTTAATTAGTAAGCCAGAGTGATTGTGTATAACTAAATCAGAGCCTGGAGTGTGAATTTTGCAGGAGTTACAAAGTGATGATTAATCCCTAAATGAGAATTCCTCTCCAGTTCTTTAAAATCAGGGATTGTTCTCCCTCTTAACAGAGSAAAAGCTTTGTTAAATTACGTTTGCCAAATCCTACTGGCAAATATTTTGGCTGGTAAAGASAAAAACTGTTGTGCTATTAAGGCATCAAAATTAATTATGCCAGTATAACTGGTTATCTTTGGCACAAGTACAGAGCTTGAGGGACCAGACATGGCGCTGCCCTCTTTGTTACCATGGTAGACAATTATGAAAGGAGTACAGATCTGGACTTGCATAACTCAAAGGCAGTTCTGACCAGATTGTAAATTTCCAGGTTAAGAGTAAAAGAAATATTCCTTTCTCAAAAGYTGTTGTCTAGGACCCAGAAGGAATCTGACCCACTTGCAGGGGGAAAAAATTACAGCTGAAGGAGATACGATCAATATTGTGCTACAAAGGAATTTTCACAAGCCACTCTGAAAAATTCACTTGATGTGCATTTATCCTGGTACAAGGTGGTAAAAGTAACTTGGGTAGGTATGAGATTGGTATTTTTAGCTTGAACTTCTCTGGCCATATCTTTTATATTTGGGGATGAAAATGCAAGCAAAACAGTGAGCAGCTTCTGTGAGACTGCAGTAAACTATTCAGCCTGGGCAGGATGGTGTGGTCTGGGTAAGATGGTATTTGCTGCTTTTCTTGWAATTGAAGCTTGGTCAAATTGTGATCGCTCTTAAGTACTGCCCAAACCTGTGCAAGGTAAACAACGTCTGGGATATGAAAATACCTTTTCTACTTCCCAAGAAGGATGAGAACCTCTTTTGATAATCCCCTGGGTGCAAGGYTGCAGAAACTTCATCAGGAAGTAGCAGGCAACAGTGAGCCTGATACACAAAGAACAGCAGCAAAATACTCAGTAAGGTTTTGTGTCTCCTGATTACGAAGGAACTTCTTCAAACTTATCTGCAGACCTGCCTGCAGTCAGCAGTTGAAGCACATGTAAACAKTGTGCCAAGCAGTGTGCTCTTTGTGTGTGCCAGATGAAAGCAAACCGTGATTTATGTGTGCAAATACCTCTATGAATACATGCACATGAGCTCAGAGGGAATTTAACATGAGAGCTTTTGAAAACTTAGAATTCTGAGTTGTGCTTCCCACGTTGTTTGTTCTTTCACATTAGAACAGGCTCTGCTTCTGAAAAGATACAGAGTGGAACTTCACAAGAAGCCGAGGGGATAAAAGTTTTAGCTCAGTAACAAATGGAGGTGAGTGCTAGTGAATCATCTGCTAAGTTTTGAGGTCAGAYGGCCGGACAAGAAATTCCAAAACATTCTTTTAACGCCACAAAAATCTTTCTAATCTCTCATAACTACTGGGCTGTTCAAAAGCAAGGTCTGGAAAGATGGGACCAGTTCCCTTTCTCAGAATTTAGCTTGCAAACGCAGCTGCTAAGACCAGTTTTAAACTTTTAACCTGTGCCTAACAATAGCAGTTGCACATCTGTCACTTCTCTGCAGGACCTGAGTGCCACAAGTGCATTTGTAGGGCAGCAAAGACACTCCAGTAATGGAGTTTGAAGCTCCTCTAAGGATTCTGACAAGGTGCCCTCTGGGTCTAGGGCAAGCAAAACTGGACAGGGAAAATGGACTTCAATGCTTCAGTGACTCATGATGTCTGATGAGCTTCTCTGTGTTTTAGCCTGGTGATAGATGCTGTTTCAAGCCACAGAGAAGCCATGTGGGTATATCTGATAGTGACTAAAGCATTACACAGCTCTTAGTGGCTGTGATGCCTTGCCATCATGGTATGTTCAACCCATAAATGCTATTCCGGTKGTGTGTCATCAATTCTAATTGCTCCTCTTCATTCTTTTTGTGGTGTTCCATAATACAGCTCCAAGAGGCCGGAATTATTCTCTCTTCTGCATTTGCAGCTGAATACAACTTCGGAATTACACCAATTATTCTGCTAATCCACTTCCTGATTTGACTGAATTATCTCAGAAAATAGCTATGGTCAACAATAAGAAAAAAGTGAAACTGGCAGCCACAGGGTATCTTCTGTAGAACTCTGAGGGTTACACCTTGTAGCTATGGTGATCTGAGAGGCCAGAGACAGTGCTCCTGCTCTGAGTGTTGTGCTCTCTTGTACTTTTGCTTTCCTAAGACCCTGTTCTGAGYCAATCCAGCTCAATAAAGTAAGCTAAACAAAACAAAAACAACCACCACAACAACAACAGCAACAAAGAAAAGAGACCATTTTCTCCAGCTTTAATTAGCTGAATTGTCTATGAGAAGGGTTTGGCAAMTGCCAGTGCCAGGGCAAGGTGGGAAGTGTCTCTGGAGCAGGAGATAAGSAGGGAGCAAAGGGTCATAGGCTAAAGTGGAGCAGGGCTTCCCCCTTTTGGGAGCAGCGAGCTATGAGATCATCCTGATATCTAATCGTTCTGGTTGTTAGTCATTGCTTAGACTGGGGGTGTCTTGACAAAACCTTGGTTGCTATTGTTACCCTTATGACACAGAGGAAACATGACTTGTTTCTCATAATTTCCTTCATGCAAGCAGTGAGTAGGAATTTCAGTGTCTGTGTACTCCAGGCACAGACAATGACTGCTCAACAGCTTTTACTCTCTGAGGAGAGTGCTGGGCTGGGAAATAAGAGTGATATTGACTCTGGAAGTGGCTACAAAGAGCAAGATATAATCCTCATGTGGAATAGAAACTGAGAGACCCTCAGTGGAAGTGGAAAGGAAACCACTTMTCTCAATATGTGCTGTCCTCTAAAGGTCACTAAAGTAAGGTCAGTGCAGCAACATTTGATCGTATATTCATACCAAAAAGTCATATGCAATCCAGTTGAGCCATAAAACCAGTTAATGATGCAGTASAAAATGTATTTCACTGCAAGTTTTGCTACTGTGACACCACAACCAACATSTTCATGGTGTGGCATATGAAATATGGGCTGAGATTCATATGTGGCCTAGAGTGATGCAGAATTTCAGGGTTTTTGAAAGGTAGCCACATTGTGGAATGGCTCCCCTACAGAGATGAGCTCACAGTGCAAAGTCTGGATCCAAATCTTCTAGCAGCTCACAAAAAAACTGCACTAATCTCTTACTTTTAGTCCATAATTTTTCATACACTTATGTATGGTTATATACATACGTAAAATCCACACTAGTCTCAGAAAACATACAAGTCCATGCAAGAAGGATTTGAAGCATGGTACATAGAATTTCACATTAGAATCAAGTAGCTGTGACTGAACTCACCAAATACTCTGTGTATTTGCATAATATAATCATTGGTTACCTGATTTGTGTACAGACTCTCAGATTGTGAACATGGAATGTCAACAGTTGATTTACTGAAAACATTAAAAAATACATTACAATGTAAGTTCACCATAGGGAATGCTCCCAAGCTTGCCTATACATGTTAACTCTTTTCTGTGTGCCCTCTAACAGTCTGTACACAATAATCTGTCTTCTAAATCACCAAAACAGTGGAATAACTATGGAGCATCAGTTTCATTTACCTCTCCYCAAGAAGCTCGTTCATCATTTGCAGTGAGCCCTAGATAAAAGACTCTTCATCTGKGTAAAATATTATTATTGTTGTTTTTGTTAGGCTCATGTTTTCAGAGGTTTTT